ATTGTTTTGTTTTAAACAGGAAAGGTGTTCCTACAGCCTAATACTTTATAATTTTAAAGTTTAAATCTGTATTAACATAGATTTATGAATTAATAATGATGCCACTGAAAACTTCCTGAGCAAAACTTTATGAGTCAAAATATTCGTGTTTTTAGTAAACTATTATATTCCTGTGTGCCAGTTGTAGGGAAGTTAATGAATAAAGAGTGTAACTTTGGTTAATCATAATGGTATGACACAAAGTAGAAGGTTATCCAAATACTTTACTTAAACACATTATCTTATGTAATACTTTGAAGCATGTACTAGAGTACATGCTGTTTTTTCTGACATGTTCATAAGGAACTACAACTTACTCCGGCTATGGGACTCGGCACAGTAAAGCATGTCAGCAGCATGAACAAACTGATACCCCGATGTGCTCGTGCACAGTTCTTCTTCAGTATATCCTAAAATAATCTCTCCTCTGTTTAAAAAAAAGGTAAAATAAGGATGAATTAAGATTTAACATAAATGAAGTAACCAAGATCAATTCATTGGCTATATGCTGTTTTCTGCAATATGTTTTGCTTGACATTCAGAGTTTCACATCAGTAGGTGGAAAAAAATTAAACACATCTACGTAAACTGCTCTCTTTTGCTTATGGCTGCAAATTTCAGTTTCATTCTATTTTCTTTTCCTGAATAAAACCATGAAAATTAATATGGCTAAAAATAAATCTAACAGAGAGATTACAAGTAAAACAAAATCTTTGATAAAAATTTAAAATGCTTATATTCTGTTTTGGGGGAAGCAAGGTTTTTCAAATTAGCTGTCTGCATTCCCACATTAGAAAGAAGAAAAACACTGATATGTTTTGATGTGATATAAATGCTTAATACCAGACTCCACTTTGTAATTTTCTGAAAGTTACTAAACTCCTAGGGTTAGAAATCAAATAATATTTGTACTATTTAAAAATGTAAAACAAACCAACAATAAACGTCATCAGAAGGATGAGCTTTACTTATAAGCGTATCATTTTTTTGTGTCAAGTACTGTAAAAGATTACAAAATAATAAAATGATTTGTGAGCCTGATGAAATTATTTTACTTTAGAAGGCTATACTGAAAGAATATGAAATAATAGTAGC